AAACGTTCAACGGAGTCTTTTACCCTTCTTCACAAATGCATAATTAATTTCGCTCGTTAAGGAGCAGTATTTTATACAAGTAAGTCTACATTAAAATGTAAGTTGAGAAGGTGAAATTACGAAGAGGAGGCCTCGACCAGACAGAGGAATCACGGATGATACGTCGCTTCCTTGGAAGCGGGATTGCAGTCATCGCTTACGGCATTGTCTTCCCCGGATCCCAATGGGCGAGCACCTATTAGGGTCAGAACGTCTGTAAAAGTAGCGGAAACCGGGGACTGAGAGACTTCTTTGATCCATTCATCGTGATTCAAATCAGAGAGATCTGCTTGGTGAACCGATAAGGCTGGTGAAGCGCGTTACAGCCTCGTTTCCATAGAACTGGAACAATAAAAATGGAAAAAACGAAATGCAATCACTTCCCCTTTCGTCGTTTCCTCGATTCTAAAAAGTTCGCGTGTAGGTAGAAGCTTGAACGTTTCATGTTCTGTACATACCTTTAGTACCTCACTCCTCGAGTTACCGTGCCTCTTTACTATATCCAGACACTTTTAACTCCGCAACAAAACTAACAAACAGTCGATTTGCAAGCGCCAGAAATAATCACGACGCAGTGGAAGTCCCAGACGTGTCTAACTAAGGACGGACATTTTCTACTTTCTCGACTCGAACCAATTTGCTCAGGAAATTAGCCGCGGCTATTTTACCCTAACCACTTCTGTATCGTTGATCTAAAGGATCGGTAAAGGAATACAAGAGCTGGTATAACGAGCGTTTCAGTGAAACGAAGAAACTCGATCCTCCTGGAGACACTTGATCGAGGTCTCGCGCGACGTTCTTTCCCTTCCGTCGCCCTCCTTTCCATCCGTTTCGCCTCTTCTGCCCGAAAATACGACCACGATCGAACCAAGTATACCCGCGCAAGGTTAACCGACCTATCAAGGAATCGCGTGGGCGTCGTCCAGCCGGCATAGGAGCTTTTATGTCGCGGAGGCGAAATCATAAATAATAATCGCCGGATTGCATCGGCGGTGCAGGCGCGCGTCGCGGGTACGTGTACAACGAAATCCTGTCGACAAATTAATTCCGGCTGGTGCAAGCACCGCGAAACGCGAAGCTCGATGAATAATGAACGGTGTCGCCTGTCAGCTGGAATGAAAGTAACATTGAAAACGATTAAGCGCCGTTGGAAACACCGAACGTTCTGTATCGTTTTACCACCTTTCACCAGTTTCGCGGTCGTTTATTGTTCATTTCCCCGGTGAATCCTTCTTCAGGATGTCAGGTTGATAGTTCGCGAATACTTGGAGTTACATTTTAAACAGAGAGGGACCGATCATCGACGTTTCTTCCTTCTTTCCGATCATGACTTTTCTCCGTTTTCGAGATGAAGATATCATGTCCTCGCGTGTACAGCGGCCATTTTGGATCGGGTGTATAATTAGCGGAGGGAATCGAAGGAGAAGTTAACATAGGGTTCGGATGAATTTTTATCGTTTCCGTTGGGCCGATGTCGCGAAACCTTCTCACGCGTCAATGAGGCAATTACGATATTACAGAGGCGTCGATGCAATTACACCGATGACAAGAGGAGGCCGGCAGAATCACGGGTCCGCACTGTCGCACACGTGGAGCAATATTTCCGCGTATACCCGTATGAATCCAGCGGCGCTCGGGGTACTTTATCTTGGACGAGGCGGTGCTTAAAGCGGCGCGCGTCGTAATTAAATGCCGGCACCTCTTGGCCCTCTTATCACCAGCAACGATCGTGCTTCATACGGAGACTCGTGCAACGTGGAAAGACACGGATCGACGCGCCTTTCCTCCTCCTCCTCTTCCTTTTATTCTTCTTTTTTACAAGAAGTGCCTCTTCGTTCGAACGCGGGGGAACAGGACAGCTCGTAGATCAAGATCGTACGAAATTCGAGAGAACAAGTGAACTCGTAAGCGAAATTCACGATGAAAACCTAAGTCAGTGGTGGATTTTGTAAAATGTACAAATGACATTTGTTTCGACGGAGAAAAAAGGATATATGCAAATTAATTGCGCAAAGAAGATCATCGAACATCGCGAAATAATGGTGGTCGAAGGCGAACAATAAAATGGCTCGTTAAAACGTCGAATTTGAATATTCAACTGTTGAGCGGCATCGTCCTTTTTTTCCTACCTCTCTCTCTCTCTCTCTATCTATCTCTCTCTCCTTGTTCACGCCGATCAAAAAAGAGAAGCGTTGCGTCACGCAAAAAGAAACGACCGATTGAAATCTTCCCTGTGGCTGGCAACCCGGCCAGGGACGTGGCCCGTTCGGGTAACAAGTGGCGAACGGTTATACGCGTTACACGAACGGTGTTTACCACGCCGCAGGGACGCATTTGGCGCAGGGAGATCCGCTGATACGCCCGCGAACAGGGAACGTGGACGGAGTAAATTAATGGTGCTTGTTTGTACCTTGTATTTTAATCCTGCTAATCCTTCCGATACGAAAAAACCGCTAAATAAGGAAAATTTCGATAACAGACCGAGGGAACAATATCGGAGTTGTAAAAATGTTACATCCGATACCAGGTAATAACGTCGTCACTGTGTTTGACAAGTTATTTGCAAAGATCGCGACATCGTAAAGTTCGAGTCTCTTCAGTTGAAGAAAAAAAAAGGACAGAAAGAACATCGCTCACGAAATGCAAATGGTATACACTTAAAGAAATTGTAGTAAAGTTCGAAGCTTATTTTTGAAGGTGATTTCGCGTGCAAAGATCGAGCATGCGGCCCTGTGGGCGCACTTATGGTACACGTAGGTGAATGTCGGGAGAGAAATCATACCGGCAAGGACGACAGCGCGGCGAGAGAGGCGGCGGAGGGTG